CGAACCACAAAAAAAAAAAAACACTCACAAAGCCAGCGCACTCCCACAGCTGCTCCCGCCCTATAGTCAAACAATAATATATTATCTCATGTGTCTAAAATCAGGGCTTAAAATTTATTGGTTTTAAGTAAAAACGATAGTCTTTTTTTTGTTACATTTCCCGTGTTACAGGTTAGAATGAAATAAAACATTACTTAATGAATTCAAGGCACTGTAATTTCCTTATCCATTTGACGTAAAACTACTATATATAATTATATATATATATAATCATTTGATTTCGTCATATTCGTGATTTATGATTTTTTTTATGAAAATTTCGTTTTATTGAATAGCTAGGGTATTCGTTATGTTCGTGTATTGCTTATGACGAAAATTCATTAGCCTAGCCTATTTGCTATGAAGTTGATTTAAAATTCTTCATAACAAATTTTAAGAAGTTAAAAGTTAAGAAAGAATGAAATTAGCCTGTAGGCTATAGATCTATAGGCTAATTTTCTTAACTTTTATTAGACTGCAGATCGGAAAAAAATCATTCTTGATAATTTTTAAAATGAGAGAAATCACTGACATAATTTAGGCTACTTTCTTCGACTGCAGAAAAAAACGAAACCATTTAATTTGCAGTGTTAACTTATGAATTAAATGAAAAACAAGAAATAAATCACAACAAGAACAATAGTTTTTTTTCTTCTAATCAAGAAAAAATATTTGACAAAATTTAAAAATGAATGCTGAATGATATTTGACAGTGAACGCATCTCCACTGCATAGCCGCATACAATCGTTGTTGTCAGTCGCAAATATTAAGCATGTTTTAGGCTATAATGCATGGCGTGTGTTTCACTAGCTCTGTTCCCATGGACACCTTTTGTTTGAACTAATTCTGGATATTTCCAGCCTAAGACCTGCGATTAATCAGCCGATTAATCCGTATCTAAAGCCATGTCTACACCAAGAGAACCCATTACGGGAAGTGGCGTGAGGCGACAAATCTTCTACAGTAACTGATGCCTCCTTCTATCCCGAATCTTTGAAACATGCGTTGTAACAGCGTCGAAGATGGCGCCTCCGTCCTTGCTGGACATTCGGCAGTACACACCACCCGATATTTCACCGGTTTTCGACTATTCTGATGTTTTGCTGGACATTGTAGTCGGTATGCGTTGAAAGTGAAACCTAAAAAACAGCGATTGCACACTTTCGGGAGCTTCAGCAAATGCACGCAATCACAGATTGCATGCTTCCCAGCCGAAACAACCCCCCACTTGAAATTTAAATAAGATTTTGCCCATCTAAATCATTCATCCCACACTAACAACAGGCGCATCATGTGGGCTTACACTTTTTGTGCTTCGTTTGGGCACCACAAGGTGTCACTGTGGCCTCAAAGCTTACCCCTACACCTACTAATGTAGAAAGAAAGAAATGTGGAAATAAATAAATACGTAAATAAATACATAAATATGAAAATAAATAAAAGTGGGAATAAATAAATGTATAAATAAAAGAACAAAAATAAATGTGGAGAAAAAAAATACATAAGGAAATAAAATTATAAATAATTATTTATTTTTGCTTTTTTACTTTTCTTTGTATATTTATTCATATATAAATTTATTTATATTTGCTTTTTTACATTTCTTTGTACATTTCTTTATTTCTTTCTTTATTTCTAATTATGGCAGGTTGGCATTCCATACTATTATGTATATGTATATGTATAAATGTTAATATAAATAGCCATTAAATAGAGGATCTGATGAGCCACCGCTATGGGGTTTTACATAAGTAATTCATTTCTATTGTATTTTTCATGAAAATCCAAATAGAACTTGGTGATAGTATATTGGAGCATCCGAAGCAGCCAACTAGCACCACAGACTGTCCAGGAGCTCACTGATGCCCTGATCGAAGTCTGACAGGAGATTCCCCAGGACACCACTTTGATTTTCAAGGTGATTTTGAATTCAGCCCACATTGGGTTGATGATTTTAGTTTTCACTGACCACTGTCACATTATTTTGTTTTCAACGAATTACACAAAGATTTTCTATTTGAATATATCATTCATCAAGATACAATGTGTTATTTAAGTGTTAGGCAAATTTTTTTGAGAAGTGTATAATGATCATATAATAGCATAATAATGCAAGTACATCCTTTCAAGAACAAATAACTTTTAATTCTTAAGAATATTTAGATATTGAACTAATGTCAGCTCCATCAGTGTTATGTTTATTATAAGAATGAGCTGAAGTTTTGGCATCCGGCCCTTTAAAGGTGCACTAAGTGAATTTTGCCAAACAATGTTGATATTTGAAATAGGGCTGGGCGATATGATGATATTATCGTATATCGACGATGACTCTTAAGTATCGCGATGTCGATGTCAGCAGTCATCTAACAGACGATTATCGGCATTACTGGGAAAAAAATGACGAATGATAAACCTAGTAAGTTACAAAAAATATTTTACATAGCCCCATAGTCACCATACAGGTCTTTTTGCATGCAAGAATGAAATAATTTAGTAGGAGGGTTGGGAATCGAAAAGCTATTCCAATTTCGGAAATCAGATCAGATGCATAAGGCCAGGAATTCCTTGTTATAAAATTACATTTCGATTCTGCTTCTCGATTTCTGTATGCGCATTTATTGTGATTTCAAAAGATTCAACTGCAATAAGACGAAATAGAACTCACTTCTGCACTCGCGTGCTGTTTTCTGCACTGCAAAAAATGGCTTATCTTACTAAGCATTTTTGTCTTGTTTCTAGTCAAAACATCTTAAAATTTTTAAATCAAGATACTTTTACTGAGTAAAGGGTTATCAGTACTATCAGTAACCTGATGAGGAGATACCCCCTGACAATGTAAAGCGCTTTGAGTGCCTAGAAAAGCGCTATATAAATGTAATGAATTAAATTAAATTAAATTTACTAGATAAGCCAAATGACTTAAGATATTTAGTTTTTAATCCCTTCATGATTTTAGTCATACATTATAAATATCAAATACGTTATAGCTTGACTACACGTTTAAAAACAATGCTGCAATTGTTATAATTAAGGAAATTAAACTTACCATCATGAAATGTGTCTACACAGGCGATAATGCCAAAAAGAAAGAGAAACATCGGAAAATAGGCATATTTTATTCAAGACATTATTATATGACATTAACATGCATTTATCATTCTTACAATCACCGCCAGAATCTCCAGCTTCACTATGATGAACTTAAAATTGGGTTCTATTAGTTTTCCTCAACAGTTCTCCTCACAAAACGAAATTCATTTCAAACACAAATTTGATGGAAAATTTTTAGCAATTTCCATTTTTAGTGGAAATTATTAGCAAAACCAAAATAACAGCAAAGCTAATGTTTTCTGTTAGTTTAAGCACAAACTAAGAAAAGTAAAACCAAATTTTGTGGCAATAATTAAGACCAAGCTGAACATGGTGTGTGAACATGGTGGATATCGCAATATTTTTAAAGGCGATTATCGATAAGATATTTTTGACATATCGCCCAGCCCTAATTTGAAAGCACCAAAACAAACACACCTATACCCCAACAGGACCTCGCCCCTATTTTGCTTTCTTTGCCCCACACGTACGTACACAACCCTGGCAATGACGATGGCAGAAACAAGTGAAGATGACACACAACAAAGAAGTATATTCAAGCAAAAGCCAACACAGATAAGTTATGTGAAACAAAGCAAAATCAATGTTACTCACCTATTAAATAAGAAACAAAGCAAACTCAGCATCCAATTCCTGCTCCTTGAGTTCTTTCCGCCGCTGGAAAGATGCTCCGATATTTACACCAGTCCTACCTCTTGCCTGATTGTAACCCTTCTTTTTAATGTTTTGTTCCTCTGATATTTTCCTCTTTTTTTATCTACTATATCTCTCTATCTATATTCAAACTGCTATTATCCGTCCTCTGCACTCACTGAACGCTCTCTTTTCCCTATCATTACTAGACACGCCCCTTACTGCTGATTGGCTGCAAGTGTGTTTTGTGACTTGGTGCAACACTGTGGTCAAAAGCATTTTTCAAATATTGCTTAGTGCACCTTTAAAAGGAAAATATCATGAAAATCTAACTTTTTCCATGTTTAAGTGTTATAATCGGGTCCCTGGTGCATCTACCAACCCAGAAAACTTGAAAAGGTCAACGCAGTAACTTTGTTTTGGTAAGCCTTTCTCTGCAAGCATGTGGAAAAATTAGCTGCTCAGATTTCCACCACTTGTCAATGGTGTACAAGTTCTAACACCATGGCAAAAGTTCGAGCAAAGCATGCTAACTATTCTGTCGTTGGCTGCACAAATGAGCACAGAACACTATTTGGAGTCCCAGCCTCAGAGGAGACCAAGGGCGTGTCTACGTGGTGTCCAGGGGTGGCACCGGCCCCCCCTGAAATTTGGCTGGCCACCCCAGGTGCCCCTCCTCCCAGATGTCTTGCGATAGGCTTGTTTTTAGTACATTTCTAACTGCATCTGGCAGTAGCGGATCCTGGCATGTGTAGGCAGCTGCCTAGGGCCGCTTTCTTCTCTTCTTTATACTTAATTTTAGGCGGTTTCTATAGTGTGATCTTAATGACAATGTCGAGAGCGCATAATGTTACATGATCCATGTGCGCGAGGACGAATCTCTCCACTCCCAAGCGGATTTCCTTCACTCATACAAAACTGGACGTGTACTTTTAAATATTGTTCTTTTATGAATTGGCTCTGCTCTCGCTCAGATATTGCATGTACACGCTCAAACGTTATCTTCGCATCACTGAAGACGAAGAGCTTTTTTTCTAATTCAGGTGAGGAGTAGGCTTATCTCACTAAATGGAAGCAAGCTGATTATAGTCAGCCTTCTCTAGTTATTTATTTTATTAATAGCCTACTTATTTTAGTTAAGTGCTTAAATTGTAAATATGCATTTATTCAATTATTTTATTTAGTGCATTTGTATTTTGTTGTTTTTGTATATAATTTTGCAATAAAAGCGTATCAACCAGGTTCCAGAAATAATCACTGAGGGTGCTTCTGAAATGAGTGAGGGTGCTCTAGACTTAATGCACATTTTCACATATTTTGTCCCGTCTGTTGCTATGGTTATCACTATGTCAATCACTGCTACTTCGAGAGTGAATCTCGCATAAATATACTGACGTCATTCCCGAAACTTTGCAACGTGTGTGTGGCCAAAAAACAAAGTTCTAGGCTACATTTTAAATGGATTATTGACTAGAAAGCTTGCAAAGAGTGCTAATCAGTAAAAAGCTGTCACTCTTTGTTTAGTGAGTGTACACGATGTATTATAACATACATCGTTCCGCAAACACAAGCCCCCCCCCGGCCACCCTCTTTTGAGCCAGTGCCCCCTCTAGACACGCCCCTGGAGGAGACAAGAGAGCAGTGGTTTTATTTATTTATTTACTGTATACTATATTACGCTGCTGCCACACAGATCTAATATAAACATGCAATTTCTTGCTGCCAGCTGTTTTTCACAGACATAACTGACTGTTTTTGTAACTCGCGTGTGTTTTTAACATAAACTTGTGTATTTTATTTTTTTTTCAATTCAAGTTTATTTGTATAGCGCTTTTCACGATACAAATCGTTGCAAAGCAACTTTGTAGCAAATTAAGTTTCTACAATATTTAGTGGTAGCTTATCAGTGGTGACTGTCAGTTAATGTACATTTGGTAGTTCTGTTTCAGGGTTGGCATCATCCGAGGTCCACTGAGGGGTTGGCATCATCTCTTCTCAGGTCTCAGGTGTCCAGACTGAAGCTTGTGTAAATCCTAGTTA